CAAGAGGTTAGATCCACTCATAGTGATATCCAGTGGAATGGAGGAGTAGAAATTACTAGTAGTAAATGACAATGATACACAACCAGGTCATTCTACAGCTGGAGAGTAATTTTTATAAGAGAGAGACTGAGAAATAGATAGGAAGAGACAAGCTTCATAGATACATGTACATGCAGTTATGGTGTACAGTCAGTTCCATTACCTGTACATGTACATGTACTTCATTCTGTTGATATTCTATTATTGGAATACTTTAATGCTGTAGCTACCATAACTAATTAATGACATCATCATAAAATCATATAGTGACTGTGATATCATAATAGTATCTACCATTGGGTGGAACTAATCTTAGCTCTAGATATGAATATTGTGAACACATACATGTAAATGTAATGTACATATTTTTAAATGGAACTTCCACCCACTACTGCAGTGAATCATTATATGTGCTTTGTTAAAGGTTAGTTAGTGTAGTGTTTGTACTGTAGACAAGATTCTGTCAACATTTCCAAGATGTCTTTCCTTTTATGGAAGTATATTTGGACTCTATTCAGGAAATATCAATATACACTGACTACTTGTGACAGGAACTGCTTCCTTATTCACCAGCATTGTACTAAATACTAGTAAATAGCATCCATTATTAACTTGAAAGAAACAAAAGAGCAAATATGCTGTCAAACAAGATTTTTATGTTTATGTACTTATAAATGCAACTATAATACTGATGTTCTCAAGTAACAGTAATAACACAGATTATGTTAAAAACTAAAAAAATAGAAATCACTTAGGTAATTTAATACAACAAAGCATTTCAGTTATTTGAAAATTTGCAACTAGCATTTGTTAAAGCTCTCTTCTTGATCCTATTAATCATTAGTAATCAATTTATTGTTACTGATAATCTTACTGATATATTCAGCAACTGATATCTCTCCTACTTCACCAGCAGCAATAGCTAGTTTCTCCCATGTTGCTTCAATATCTTCTGTAAGCCATTTTGCTAAACATTCTTCAAGACATCGCTCAGCATCTCGTGGGTAATTATCCTCAATTGTCTTCAATTCAGGGTGAATCAGGCCCAAGTAGAGACCAAGTTTACGCCATTTTTTATTCTGAAAATAACCCTGTTCTAACACTCGTATTACATCTACCAGGTTCCTGATAGTCAATATAACTATTATTAACAAAATAATGAAACTATATAGTGTGAATGCTTACAATACCTTTTTGTTGATCATCATTAGATTCACTAGTCTGTGTGGGTGGATAATTTTTAGCTGAGTTGACATTTTGATTTGTTGGCTCTATATAAAGTATATGAAACATGCACTTATAGTTAGTGGTATGTGTTAGCATAGCAAACCAGGCAGCATATACTTACTAGTATTATTATCATCTTTCAATGTTGGAATCTGAATTAGAATAGTACATAAAGTTACTATGTATTCAGTTTATACCTTTTGGAGTAGTTTCAAATCTCCTTTTCTTTCTTCATTAAACCAGATTGACTCATTACTGGTTAGGGAGCGAGGACGTCTCTTCATTTTGCAGTAAACAGGATCAGAGCATGTCTGCTTCACAGCACTAATGTCATTAATGTAATGGACTTCTTTGGAAGGACTGCATTGACACACGTATTGTACTTTTCTAGATGATTGATCAGCATGGTGACCATTGAGAGTATCTTCTACTTGTTGACAACATTCCTCAAGCAATTTCATGATTTTTTGACAAACTAATTTGAGAGAAACAGGATGACTACTCTCAGGTACATATCTCAACACATCAACTTGAATAGCTTCATTAATATCAGTGAGAACAAAATCATCAGAAGGATGACCATAAGAGAAGCAGACACGATTACGATAGATAGACTTTGAACGAATGACAGGTGCTGCATAAACATAATCAATATTAAGCTTAACATTGTCATTTGTAGCAACAGCAGTTGCTAAACGAGTGAAGAAGCCAGGAGGTACATACCCAGTGGAGAATGTAATGTGTACAGGTGAGGCTCTTAGCTTATAACCAGGTCGAACTTCATTAGGATCACCTGTGTATCCTGGTAGCACTGCTGGGAGAAAATATTGTTTGAATCTGCTATCATAAAGCTCAGTTTGAACTTGAGCTGCAAGACGAAAATAAACTAAAAGTTCCATTATTTCTTCTGGATCAATACCACTTGACTGCCATACTTCTTGATAAAGTGGTTGAACAAGAATACCTTTATTTCGTAACAAATACCATCTTCTTGTTCCACCCCATCCTTCTTCACATCCTTCTAGTGTGAACACCTTCCCAATAGTATCAACGAACCATTTTGGACTAAGAATGACTTTATTCTTCAGACCTTCTATTTGAGGATAGTAAAGCACAGCTCCCAGCTCATGGTAGAATTTCAATACTTCAGGAACAATAGCTGCGGTATATGACATGCCACTCCAATGGCAATTGCATCAAATGTACTAATGACATTCTGCTTTAGCTCCTGAAAAACTACTTTGCGAAAGAGAACCCAATTGACAGGGGTTCTGACAACTAATTTACTGATAAAATTGTCAACAGCTCTTCGTAATACCGTAATACTTGGATCTTCTTCTCCTTTTCCTGAGGTCGTATTATCAATAATTAGCACATCTTTAATAAGATCTGAAAACTCTTTTTCCTCATACAGGAACTGGATTTGCTTCTTTACTTCCTTCTTGCCCTTTTTATCTAGCTTGTCACCACGAGTACCAATACAATAAAGATTAGGAGAAGAAGTACTATCTTTGTTGTGCTTTACAAGGTGACTGTGTATTGTAGACATCCATTTGGCCATTAGATCACTCGTGCTTTCATTCACTACCTCACCAAACAGCATTTCACCATCAGGAGTATTCTGACGTGACTGCCATCTTTCCCTGAAATCCTTTGAAGCATCAAACAGGAGGAGAAACATTGTACGAGGAGTGAGGAAGGCTGGGAGAATCTCAAGGAACATTGGCTGACCACCACAATCCCATATATGAAGAAATGGCTAAAGATTAATAAAATTAATTTACTATAATGGGCATGACTAACTTGAATAAGCGATTGTGTTGTCTTATAAGTGGAACCAACTCTTTCAAGTATTGATTGGATACAACTCTCTACATTCAAATCATAAGCTATATATGTAGAAACTGATTCATCATGAGAATATTGTGTGCTCAATACAGATGCATGGCGTGAGAATGGTCTAGAAAAACTGGATTCAAATAGATGTTTAAGTTCTTCAATTTCATCTTCTTCTGTGGCTTCTCTCCATTTGTTTCCTCTCATTGTTTGCCACTCGTGTCCAAATGGTCGTACAGAGGATACATCAGATACAATGGTGCTTGTAGTGTGAGGATTGAAAGGTTCTTCCATTAATGAATGCTTGAGAGATGTCTTGCCAGTACCAGCTGATCCCAGTAACATAAGACGAGCATACGCTACATCAGCACTTCCTTGTTCTTTGAGAGCTCTCTCATAGGTACCTGTATGTATATATACACATGTAAAAATATCATGTACAATAAATTTGGCAAAAGATTATATAATATTAAGTAAAACTATTTTTACTTACTTATATTCTATAAAAAGTGAAGCAAAAATTTATTAGATTAAAATATATTTGCATGATATAACATACTCTTAACTGGATAGCAATATTTAGACATAGAAAAAAGAATAAAATGACACATTCACATGTGATGTGACTTACTCTCTGAAAAATGGTAAATAACACAGTTTAGTAAAGTATCACAATGGTATCATAGAGAAAAGAATAAAATTACACATTCACATGACATGACTTACTTTCTGAAACATTGTGAATAAATAAAGCATCACAATGATATCGTAGAAAAAAGAAGATAATAAAATTGCCCTTTCACATAAGATGTGACTTACATTCTGAAAGATTGTGAACAACACAGTTTAGTAAAGTATCACAATGGTATCATAGAGAAAAGAATAAAATTACACATTCACAAGTGGCATGACCTACTCTCTGAAAGATTGTGAATAACACAGTTTATTAAAGTATCACAATGGTATTATAGAAGAAAAGAATGACATTACACATTATCATGTGATGTGACTTACTGGCTGAAAGATTGTGAATAACAAAGTTTAGTAAAGTATCACAATGGTATCATAGAAGAAAAGAATAAAATTACACATTCACATGTGATGTGACTTACTCCCTGAAAGATTGTGAAAAACACAGTTTAGTAAAGTATCACAATGGTATCATAGAAGGAAAGATTAAAAGTACACATTTAGATGTGATGTGACTTACTGGCTAAAAGATTGTGAATAACACAGTTTAGTAAAGTATCACAATGGTATCATAGAAGAAAAGAATAAAGATTACACATTCACATGTGACGTGACTTACCACCTGAAAAATTTTGAATAACACAGTTTAGTTAAGTATCACAATGGTATCATAAAAGAAAAGGATAAAATTACACATTCACATGTGATGTGACTTACTGACTGAAAGATGGTGAATAACACAGTTTAGTAAAGTATCACAATGGTATCATAGAAGAAAAAATTACACATTTACATGTAACGTGACTTACTGTCTAAAAAATTGAGAATAACACAGTTTAGTAAAGTATCACAATAGTATTATAAAAGAAAGGAATAAAATGATACATTTACTTGTGACATGACGTACATACTATTGTGAGTAACACAATTTAGCAAAGTATCACAATGTCATAAAAGAAAAAAATAAAATTACACATTTACATGTGATGTGACTTACAAACTGAAAGATGGTGAATAACACAGTTTAGTAAAGTATCACAATGGTATCATTAAAAAAAGAATAAAATTGAACATTTACATGTGACCTGACTTACAATCTGAAAGATTGTGAATAACACAGTTTAGCAAAGTATCACAATGGTATCATAGAAGAAAAGAATAAAATTACACATTTACTTGTGACGTGACTTACTTCCTGAAAAATGGTGAATAACACAGTTTAGTAAAGTATCGCAATGGTATCATAGAAGAAAGATTAAAATTACACATTCACATGTGACCTGACTTACTTCCTAAAAGATTGCAAATAACACAGTTTAGTAAAGTATCACAATGGTATCATAGAAGAAAGGAATAAAAATATAGCATATACAGGTTTATTTTTGTGAAATATTTCCATAAATTACACGTTTTTATGCTCTGTCATGAAATTCTTCCACTGCAAAACTTTGCATCTCCGTTACCACGTGGTGCATGCAGCCTGCAAGCTTTTAGCAAAAATTAATCCCAGAAAATATTAGAAATGCAAGGTTCAAAAAAAATTTTATCGCAAAAATAAACCAGGATACAGTACATTCACATGTGACGCAACTTACTTCCTAAAAGATTGTGAATAACACAATTTAGTAAAGTATCACAATAGTATCATAGAAGAAAAGAATAAAATTACACATTCACATGTGACGTGACTTACTGACTGAAAGATTGTGAATGACACAATTTAGTAAAGAATGATAATTGTATTGTAAAAAAAAAGAATAATTACACATTCACATGTGATGTGACTTACTGACTGAAAGATTGTGAATAACACAATTTAGTAAAGTATCACAATGGTATCATAAAAGAAAAAAATAAAATTACACATTCACATGTGATGTGACTTACTTCCTGAAAAATTGTTAATAACACGGTTTAGTAAAGTACCATGTATCACAATTGTATCATAGAAGAAATAAATAACATTACACATTCACATGAAATGACTTACAGCTGCCATATTGTATGAGAATGTCGTGGATCTGTGGTAGAATGAGAATTAGACTATAAAATAAATATGAAAAGCTATAATTATAAATTTAATACACAATTATGTGCCTAGACTGTTTAGCAATGTCAAGCACTCAAGCAGTTCTTTAATTAACATCATACACATCAACACATGAGCCTTAGAAAATGATGCAGCCAATTATTTTAGTCCAGTGACAAAATTTGGATGGGTGTCTATCCTTGATGACAGAATCATATTCATCTTCAATCCATTTTAGTGCATGGTATTACAAACAAAATGCGTTAAAATGGTTGTGGCTTACTCCCTCATATATCAATCATTGTACCTGCCACAACCCCC